CACCCCCAAACCCCGCTGCCCCAACTCAGCCCGCCCCAACGGGGCGCCCCAAAAATCAGCGGGGCGGGCATCTCTGCCCCAAACCCAGGGCGGGGCGAGCACCTCTGCCCCAAACCCCGGCCCAGCGGGCTTTGGGGCGGGTTCGGGGCGGGGTCACGGGGCCGTCCGTGACACTCTAATCATAACCAAAACATGAATACATTTGGTTTTAAAACAGGGATTTGTCAGCTTCATAACTGTCACCTGATAGTTTGGAATAGGGTAAATTAGCGAATTTCATGCTAGTGCGGATATTCGTTGGGTATCTGACATATACTGTTGGACTTGGATATCGGGATGATATCCAACATCCGCAATTTGCGGACTTGGATGTGGTGACCACATCCAAGTCGTACGATATGCCGCAGCCTAGTTCTGCCTGTGTTATTAGAAAATATCAAGCATAAGTATTCCCTGACCCTGTCAAATTATCTTTTCAGATTATCGAATCCAACTTGCTTCTAGGCTTTACGTTGATCTATGTATGCCCCACCGATAGTTATGGTCCGCATCGACAAACCGGGCTCAATATGGCATGAACATGTTCAGAAACTCTTGTCACATTCAAACTTTCCACGAAGCTACCGTTGCTGCATCATTGACCAAGACTTAATCAGCCTGATCCCGATTCATGAAGTGGGAGCAGTTGAGAATTGCTTTCTCTCCGAGGACTATCGCAGCCTTTATTTTTTTTCTACGGTTGAATGGTTTCTTACGCCCGAATCTGGGCGTTGTGACGGCCTGGTCACGTTTGAAATGGGTTCCGTCGGAAGTTCAGGGGAAACCGGAGGAGTCGATCATCCGACTGCACGAGGTCTATATGTAGAAGGCCCAATTAAAACGAACGATTGATATACTCTATCTAATGTAGCCTAGAGTACACGGGTGCTTGAGTGCTTGATGAGTGCTTGATGAGTGCTTGTCTTTCTATATGTGGCGAACGCTGGATCTCCCTTGTGCTCAACATGGTAACACCCAACAGTGAAAGGAAGCCTGATGTCACCAGCAGAAGAAGGCCATGAGGTCCAGTGGAACACGCGGAGCTCCATGGCACCGTCATTTGGATGCAGCTCCGTGATATACTCCAACGGGAATTGAACGGATATAATCGAGTTCCACAGTGATTCAATGTGGGTGCTTTGGTCATAACAAACATAACAAGCTACAATAATTCTGCATTTGCACGAGGATATGGGAAACCATACAGGCGAAACCATATCAAACTATCATATAGTAGTTACAGATTGACTGAAATTACCCTTCAAGACTTCATAACCACCCTCTTTCGCAGAAATTCAAATATCCAGAACGTGGTTCAAGTGAGGACTTGGGACAACACCAAGTGTAGAAGAGAAGATGGGGCTGACGGTTCCGTCATTGACAGAGTATCCCACAGATGTTCCTTCCCCACCCTGGCGCTTGGTGAAATAGTGCACAGTGCGACCATCAATAAGAATCTGATAGCGGTCTCCGTGGTCATAAACAATGACATATGAGTCATCCCTGAAAAATACGCCCGGTAGATCGACTCTCTCTTCGTCGCCCCAGTCGCCGCCTACCGGTCCACTATTGAAGACAATTTCTTTCTCAACACGGCGGAATGATATGTGAAGAAGATTGTCTCCTTCGTCATTATAGAAATTGACGTTGGTGTTGTCAATATAGACTTCCGGTTCGGGTCTTAGGTTTAACTGTCGAGAGTGCAGAAGGACAAGGCTATCCCTTTTAAGGGGCGAGTCTAGGCTAGTCCTTGCGTTAAGGGAGACGAGTTGTTCATCTTTGATGCCCATGTTGGGATGACGTGGTATTGTTGCTCCTTCCAATGTCAGTCCTCGTTAATCTGTATAAGGCTTTAGGAAAGACAACATACAAATCTTAGATCTCGGAATATTAGCCTAGGGCAAGCTTCCAGAGAATATATTTCTGTTCCTCTGCTGGAGTCTGAATCGAATGAGATAAAAAACCAAAGACTTCAGTGAGAAAAGAGAAAAGACACTCTTTAAATAACCACAGATCGACATCCCACCTTTCCTTTTTGACTGGCATACATTGATTCTAAGCTGAAAAATGTATCACATAACCAGGCAACTTTGCATGGCTAACTGCTACTGTAAGGTCCACTTTGCGGGGTTATATGCAGCCATCGAAAAGACGGAACTGTCTAATGGCGGCTGAGAATTTGGTTTCTCAACTTCCGGGCCCCACAGCGGATCGAACCTTGATATTATTTTGGACATATGATGAAGGGTTTTCTACCCAAAATGCAACAAATGTAGTTTCTTCTCGTCCTGTTAGCTGGTCTGTTTGCTGGGCCAAATTTTGACCATTCAGATAGCTTTGCCATCTGCTATACAGAGCTGATTGATGTAGCACCATAAACTTGGTTTATGGAATTATGGCTCAGCTGAAGATGTGCATAATTCATGAATAGGTATTCCATATTAAGCAAGCAGAAAGCAAGATTGACGTCATTATCAGCCAGCCACAGCCATGCGGGATTAAACCGCCAATCAATAGTCGCTATCTCTGTTTTAGTAGACCTGAAGAATATTTGTCATGGAACTCTCAGCTGGCTGCCTTCAAATGGTACGTGGTCATTCTAAGTGTCACAGCTCAGCTTGAGCTGAGTAGAAAATAACAGTATTATTCTCGTACACAGTACAGGTAGCTAACGACGAGAACAATCAACATGAGGAAAGGAAGGAAGAGACAGAATACTGCGAATGCTGAGGTGTACAAACACTCGCTCACATGATTAGATCACATGAGCGATCAGACCATGACACTAAGTGTGAAGTTTGTATAAGATTGACGGCGCTGGCGCGACCCTGTCACGACCCTCGTCCTTATTCGTACCTACTTCTAGTCAACCTTGCGGTGAGGGGTCCTTACCTTTTACCCTAATGTCTTGTGTCGTAGTCGTAGTAGTCGCAAGATGTATACCGTCTGACCAGTAACCCTAACTGATCTCTTTAGGTGTCCGAGTATTACTGCCCCCGCTGGCGCTTTGTGTCGTAACTGTATCTGAGGTAGGTAGACGAATAGAGAGGACAAAGGTGAACTGAGCACGTATGCTGAGTTCTTGGTTTAATGCTGACGAGTAAAGGACTAGAATGTAACCAACGTTTTATTGACGAAGACAATCGCGAAGAACTGATCTAGGTACATGATTAAGCGTCCTCTTATACCTTTCCTGATCCTCCATGGTAGATGGTTTGGTAGATAGATGGTAGATAGTTGATATATGATATACCGCCGATCAGTCCTATCCTCCGCACGATTGTATATGAAGCGGATTCCGGGGGCTCATAGGTCCGGAACCGTATTCGGAGATCGCTTACTCAGGGGAATAAACCGAGGGAGTCGAAGGACCAATTGCACGAGGCTATATAGCAGAAATAAACAACAAAAGGCGGTTATTATACTCTATTAACGTACCTAGAGTACACGACGTAGAGTGCTTGACGAGTGCTTGACTATCTAATGTGCGCTCTGATGAGGCCATATATAGATAGACAAGCACTCAAGCACCCGTGTACTCTAGGCTACATTAGATAGAGTATATCAATCGTTCGTTTTAATTGGGTCTTCTACATATAGGCCTCGTGCAGTCGGATGATCGACTCCTCCGGTTTCCCCTGAACCTCCGACGGAACCCATTTCAAATATCTCTGTGCATCACGTGCCTAATCACGTGCATAGATCACGGGCTGGCACCGTGACATACAGGATCTTTGTGGACACTGGGATTTCAGCTGCTCTGGGGTTCACAGCAAGTTGGATCAAGTTGCGCTAGGAAGACTTTCCTGTCTTCCTGGAGTTATTGTGCCAAGCACCAGAATATCACCATACCAAATTGGCACTTTGTTATGCATTAGCGCCAACTTAGTGTTGGTTATGGAAGGTATCTGCACTGTGGCAGTTAATTCTCCAAGTGTGTCTGGTTCCTTAGTGTTGTGAACAATCTGCTATTTCTTGTTGGCCTGTCAGTGGTGCTGTCTCCAGCATTTTTCCTGTTTTTAGTGTTAACTCTCATTATTGTAAGTAAATAATTATAGATACATTGATGTAACAATGTATATCAACATGATTTGTAGGACATCTTTGGTTCACAGTGCATACATAGACTGAAACCAACTAAAAGTAGATGCTAGCCAATCAAAGGCTGCCAAGATTTCAAAGTAGGCTGTGTAGGGGGGGCAGTGCAGGCAGCTGATAGAGGCACACAGGTGCATGAGACACAAGATATTAAGCTTTAAGGGTAAAAACTAAAGCTAAAGGCGTAATTTGCCAGGTTACTCCGATATGGTGTAATGGTTAACATCGCCGTCTCTCACACGGCAGCTCGGGGTTCGATTCCCCGTGTCGGAACTTTTCTTTTTTTTCCCGATTTCGATTGAATACTTTTTTGCATCAGCAAACACTATTTATTTCACTTGCCATTGGTTTTTCTGCATAATAACAAACACTAGAATACTTCTTTCTCATGAACGCCATAATAAATACAACATAAACGACCGCAATAAATACCTTCAATAACATATCAAGCCATTATACCATCGAAAATCCCTGATAACCCATGTATGAGTAACACAATTAACTTGTCCTCTTTAATCCCTCCTCAATATCCTCCAAAAGCCCCAATAACTCCTTCCCCCCTTCTCCCTCCCTCCCTTCAATATCCAACCCCTTCTCAACGACACCCTTCGCCTCTTCCCACCTCCCCATCTCCCCCAAACACTTCCCGACCCTCCACCACCCCTTCACGTTCCCCAACCCCTTACACTCAACACTACACCGCGCATCAACCAACCCCTCACACCAAGCCGACAACCCCATATATGCCTGCGCGCGATTCGCATACAACCCAGCCAACTCCTCCCTCGCCAATGCAACAGGTTCCCATCCGGGTCTCGAAAGAGCCATATCGATCGTCAACGTGTAGAGTTTCACAGCTTCGGCGTGGTTGTTCTTGCGGTAGGCTGTGTTGGCGGTGTCGCGAAGTTTGGTGATTTGGGCGCTGCGTTTGGGGTTTATGGGTAATGGGGCGGGAGGGATGTTGGGAGGGTCGAGGGAGAGGAGGTTGCGGTGGAGGGCGTTGAGGGTTTGGAGTTCCGAGTCGAGTTGTTGGCTAGAGGGGGATGGGTGGGTGATGGCTTTGCTGGAAGGGTCGAGGTGGAGGGGGTATTGGGTGAAGAGATCGATTGCGCTCATCGCGGCGGTTGGTTGTTTGTTAGTTTGGATAGTTGTAGAGATGTTGTTCTTTGATGGCTGCTTTAGAATTAGTATGAGGAAACGTGTGGATTAGAATAGGAGTCACTCACAGTATTCGGGGTACTGTTGGACTTTTTATATTAAGCAATATGGAGGCCCAGCTCCAGAAATGGGATGAGATGAAAGACTCGATGAGTATGGTGTTGATGTGTAGTTGTAAAGCAGGCAAGCAGGCAAGCAGGCAAACTGTCCAGAAGCAGGGCGGAAGGCGGTGACAGAATATTACCCCGATATTGCGATACAAGTACAGAGTAACTCGGGGTGGGAAATGCCGCGAAACGTCGTGGCCTTTTTAAGGTACATTTTCGTGGCATTTCCATCCTGGCGTCGCCGCATTAAAACGGCCACAGGTAATCTTCCTAAATAGATAAAGCGCAGATACACTCACCAGCAACATATACACCTAATTTATCTATAGTTTCATATTGGGAAGCGCTTCCATCGTGGCTTTGGATACTAGACAAATAGCTATTTAAACGCCCAAAAGTCTGATTTCAATGTACATTCCATTCTTCCTTCCAAGCACAAGTTCTATAGTTCTCTCTCTCTCTCTTTTTTTTTTT